TCGAACCCTTATTTCCCGTTACCCGTTACAACCATGATATTGATATTAACTACTATCATAACATGAAACTAAAAAGTGAAAAATAAATATAGTTTAAAAAAACTATAAAACACGCTTTTAAAGTACATCGAACTAAAAAGTTAAAAATAATTTTTAAAATTAACTTAATTCAATAATGAACGAAAAATACTAGTATTATTGTGAAAAAAAGCGTCGGGCGCTCAATATACAAAAAATATGGCACAAAGCACCCACGCTTTTTTTCACAATAATACTAGTATTTTTCGTTCATTATTGTTTTAAGTTAATTTTAAAAATTATTTTTAACTTTTTAGTTCGATGTGCTTTAAAAGCGTGTTTTTTAGTTTTTTTAAACTATATTTATTTTTCACTTTTTAGTTTCATGTTANGTGTCTATTACCACTTTTTCTCAACTCACCGAACCGATTTCTTTCTGCGATATGTCAAAAAATCACAAATTGTATCAAGTTGAAGACATTGCCCTCAAAAGTTGAAAAAATTCCCTTGTTCCCCGTAAATAGGGGAAATTTCCAAAAAAATTACAAATTTAAAAATTAGTAATTTTCGAAATTTTTTCTTAAATTTCTTATATATATATTATAATAATTATTAACTTTCCATAGTAATTAATATTTTTACAGTATTAATTTTCTATAATCCAGTATACACTGCTGTTTATAGACATGAATTTATTAGTTTTTTGTTGTTCTTAGGAATATGAAATTAATAATAAGATTTGTGATCTTTTACAAATTGTATCTAGTTTTCGCTTAAAATTTTCCTCGTTTCCTGTAAATGAAGGAAATCTCCCAAAATATTACAATTTATAAAATCAGTAAATGTTGACATTTTTATTTTTCTTAAAACTCCCATTACTTTTTCAAAAATGAAAAAATTTTTTATATTTTTTTAAAGCCTGCCCCTTTACTTTCTTATAGGGGCAGATTCAAAATAACAAATTTTATCACAGAATTCAATTTAACTTTTGAAAATGTTCCGGGAATACTGCGTCCTTTAAACATATGTTAAATTAAAGCTTGTGTTACTTACTATAAGTTAAAAAAAGAATTTATCCCGACGATTTCCCCTTATACAGGAGGTGTTCAAACTTTGAATCATATTACGATAAAAAAAACACTCTAAATATATATAGGCCGACATTAAAAAAATACCACATTTATCGCCATGCCCCATTCTGCAAAAGCGGACCCCATAGTGGAGACTTGGCGTTAAAGTCCTCGGCGCAATCACATATCAAATCGGCATAGACTCAACAAACTATCGCGCAAGTGACATATATTTCGGGTCACAAGCCTTAAAAAATAATAAATAAACGTTAAATAGAACTAGTTTGATTCGTCGATATACAACAGGTCAAAATGATTGTGTCACTTGATTAGCGATTCAAAGCGAAGTCACCAACCACTTCATCTTGATATCGTTCCAAGTCGTACACATTGGCGGGAACGTCAGGGTTGCGTCGATTGAATATTTTAATTTAGGACACAGGTTTGGGGAACTCTAACCTCGAAATTAGTACCAAAATACCCAAATAAGACGGAAGATACGCGAATGTTCAGCGCCATGGCTGCCTTTTGTACAGCGTTAATTCGTGTATAATACTTTTTATTTTCGAAATGAATTTAAAATTTTTTTTTCTATCTTCATATTTTTGATAAAAGCAGCAAAGTTAAATAAATAGGTATTTTATATATGAACTCAAACCACATAATTGCACGTATTCAATTTTTTTATTTCATGATTAATTGATTATATGATTCATACAAGTTCTCAAAAATAAAATCTATTTAGTCAACATATTATTAAACCACTATTATTTATTAAGTATTAAATAAAATATTACACCGTTTATGATCAAGTTACTAAAACGTATTGTTATGTTTGAATAATGACATTTATTATTATTAAATCATATTTTACCTTGAATTTATATTTTAAGAACTTATTATAATTTAAAATTTATCCAAAATACTACAATATTAACATAATGAGTCTACACAAAATTGTCTTACTTATTACAATATTACTGTAAATTGGACGTATGCAGCCATATGCATTTAAGGGATAAATATTTTTAAATATAGAATAATGATAGAAAAATAAGATAATTTTGCTTTTAGAATAATCAACCAATTTCTTAAAATTAAAGACTATCTACAGATTTGTATTGAAGCGTTTTTTATGATAGTAATTTTAATCATTGTCAGATATCATTTTACTTGATCCAACTATACCACGTCCCCACTGTGCTGGGTTTTTTAATTGGAACATTTCCCCTTATACATGGGCGAATATTCAAAATTAAAGCATACGTATAAAAAGTAATATATATAATATTTTGTTTTTTAAATATATGTTATAGTAAAACTAATGTTACGTAGTATAAGTAAAAAAAAAAATTGTATCTTCTATGTGCAAATAGTAATCAAAAAAATTTGTTGTTATATTTAACGATGCGGTATAATCAACACTTATTTATACATTGACTCATGTATAAATGTGAACTTAAAAAACAACGACGTTTAATAAACTGTACTCCTAAATGGAATCTTCTAATAAAACACCAGGGCATTTATAAAATATTTGAAAAATTAATAATTTCATAAATTTATAGGTTTGGTTGGGTAGGCATATTGATTAAAATTAGAAATAATGAATTCAATGCTGCAGCGTATTTGATTGATGTAGTTCTAAAAAAGTTAATGTAATTCATAGGCGCCGGAACTATTTTTTACATGGGGGCAAAAATTTAATGACTAAAACTCAGTCCCCTTGGTTGTTACTAAGCTTAAAAGTGGGTTTTTGTTCGATTTTAGTGATCATATAAAAAAATCCGGTAATTTATAAATTTAACTATTAATAATACATATTATTAGCTTCGAAGCGAATGATGTGTTTATTTATTAATTTTAGCTACGTTGGGAAGCTGAGAATGTATTAATTTTAACATGATGTGTTTTTTTTTGTGTCTGTTGTCACTTTTTCTCAGCTTTCACTGGATCGATTTTGATGAACAATATGTCAAAATATCACAAATCGTATTTATTTTAGACATTACGCTTAAAATTTGAAAAAAAATCCCTCGTTCCCCGTAAATGAAGGATATCTCCAAAAAAATTTAAATTTTTTAAATCGGTAAATTTCGTCTTTTTTTTCTTAAAATTAACATATCAACCTAATTTTTTTTATTATTAAAACGTTAGATATTTGCCTTTCATATTATATAATTTTTTTGAAAATTTGACCCTTTACCTGCCCACAGGAGGGGATTCAAAATAGAAACTTCTGCACAAAAATTTAACATTTTCAACTAAAGTTTTGAAAATGTTCCGGAAATACTCTGAGCTTCAAACATATGTTAAAATATAGCTTATGTTATATACTATAAGTTAAAAAAAAAATTTTGTCCCGACTATTTATTTTCTATGTGAAAATAGTTGCCGTAGATATAAAAACATGCAATCAATATAAATTTTTGTTTCTAAATAAATTATATATATAACTTTTATACGACACACTTTTTTTTTAAACCGGATTATTATCCTTCATACAGAGGGGTTCAAAACATAAAAATGCATATAGAAAGTGGAACGCTGTTTTCTTAATTTATGTATTTCTCTTTTATGTAATATAATCTTTTTGAAAATCTGACCCTTACCTGCCCACAGAGGATGATTCAAAATAGCAACTTTTGAAAGTCTGCGTATTTTAACTATACGTTAAAGAAAGTTTATTTTATGTACTAGTAGTTCAAAAAAAAATATTGTACTGACGAACTATTTTCTATTTTCAAATGGCAGTCGAAGTAGAACAAAAAATAGAAGTTCATTTTTTTTGGAATAATCCATCAATTTTTTAAAATTAAACACTATCTACAGATTTGCATCGAAGCGTTTCTTATGATAATTATTTTAATGACTGTCAAATATCATCTATACTTGTCCCAAGTATGCCACGTTCATACTGTGTCACGACTCCACTATGCTAACGTTTTTAGTATTTCACTGGAGTTAGATAAATTTATTAACACTTATTAATCCTTAAAATCTGAGTAGATAATAATTAAGTATGGTGGTGTTATATTAATTTCCAGATTCATTGTAATTTTTTTTCTCAGATTCTATTGGGGGGGCATAATGATACTTTTCCCCCCTCGTATTTGATCAAGGGGGCAACTGTCATCCCCTACTGGTTCCAGCGCAACTGATGTAACTATCAAATTTTGCAATGTTATTCTTATGTTGTTATGCTCATCTTGTAATTTTGAATATGTTTTGTTTCCATAACAACGTCACTTTTCAGGATGTTAGAAAAAGGTATTAAATTAGAATTATGAAACGAATCATGAAAAAAATATCATTATCTAATTTTTCTGTTAAGGGCATTTAATTTGATTGATTTTTATCTGTTTTTTTTTTGGCATGTTAAAGTTTTCATTAACAAAAAAATGATTTTTTGAAAAATATAAACTGATGAGAAATTAAATATTTTAAGTATGTATTATGATACAGCCATATCAGCCACACTAGTACTGACAGTATACATTTCAAGCCAATATGACTTGTGATTACAAAATGTAGTCAGTCTCATTTTGACATTAAAAACTTAACTAGGACTTTCTGTACATCAATAGTTCTATAGTCACTTTAAAAAGTACATGAAAATGATTGATAAACTGTCTGACTACATTATATAAATAAGTAACAAATAAAAACAATTAAAATTGAAATGGTATTTTAAATACTTTTTTGGAAATTACTTGAAAAGTTACTTAAAAAATTCTTAAAAGTATACAATGAATGATTTAAAATTATGTATGAACACATGAAATATCATAATTTTATCTTTTTAAACGTCATTTAAAATTTAAAACTAACCTAAATTCTTTTGGTAATAAAATCTAGATTATTAATAGACATACACAAATTTATGTTAAGTTAAAATACTGTAGTTAAATCGATGTTGATTACACAATAGGTATTTAACGTTTTATATAATTTTAAACTTCTGCGAATTTTCTTCACAATTTTTGTTAATAAAGAAAAATTATTTTATAGTCGGAAATTTATGTTTTTATTTTTCTGAATACGATAAAATGTTTTCCATTAAGTTGCATGAATTTTGTGTTTTATTACTATACGTAATTGTTGTGTTTGTTGGAGCTCCAAGTATTTCTACGCAAAAAAAAGCAGCAATTATTAATAACATTTGCCAAAATGATGGATGGCAACATTTAACTGGCGTAGAGTCTGTAAACTTTAGTAATCACCCAGTAAATTTAGAAGATATTAATAAAATTGTCAATAAAGATACGTGCAATAGAAAAGTGCATGCCGCTGCTTCAATTCTACTTTGTTCATACGCTATTGATTTAAAAAAAATATTTTCTATGGTTATTTATTATAGTCATGAATGTCAAGGAGTTTTAATTCAAAAAAATAATCCCTATGAATGCACAAGTGATTTATTGAAAATAATTAAGAAAATAACTTTATTGGCAACAGTCATGAAAGAATCGTTGATTTCTTTAGATGCGTTATATGGTACTCCTTTAAAAACCACATTAGATGATTATATATTATATTGTTATTTGACAAGTTTACAAAAAGTAGAAAATACTATTTATCGTGAAGCTCCTTCAAAAAATAATCCAAATATTTGTAATCAAATCTTAAAAAATATTACATATATATTTCAAGAAATGGACACAGATATTAATGTAGAAATACAAAATAATACAAGAAAATGTAAGATTAAACCTGAAATTTTCAAAGCAATAGCGGATGATAAAAATACAATGTATAATATAAAAAATAAACAAAAAAAAAATTTTAATTTTGAAAATTTGAAGAAAAAACTAGATAACGAAATTAAGAAGATTGTTATAGAAAAGTATTACAATTTAGGCTTCTATTTTAATCCAGAAATTCAGATGATTGATGTACCGATTCCACAAGTAGTTCTTGATAGTACGTTTTTTTAAATTAATAATAATACTTAAAAATGTTTAAGTCTAAAATTAATCATTGAAGGGGTAGTTATCTTTAAATTATTTAAAGTAGTTCTAGTTCTTCAAGATTGATAATTTAATGATTTCCATCTGCTTGTTTGATGATAAACGCTTACTATAAACCGAAATAATTACTTTTTCAACTTTTGAAAATCTAATTCTTTCTGTTTTTAATTTAATATTTTGCTTTTATTTTTTTTTTTAATTCGTCAAATTTATTCAGTAGGTGTTTTAATATATTTTGTATGATTCGCTTCCTTTATACTAAATAGTCTGATCTTCCCAACCATTATAATTTGTATGCAGTAAAAGGATATAAAGTTTAATACCACCAATTTACAATAAAAGTTATAAAATATTTTAATTTTTTTTTTATTAAATTAAAATTGGACAAGTGAACACTGTATTTATATTTGATAGGTTAATTCTGGATATAGTGCGCCATATTTAGATAAATACTAATTTTTATATGAGTGTAAACTAAAAATTATCTTCTAAATATCGTGTATATATATATATAAACGATAACAGTAAAATTATTTTTTTAAGCAATATTATTGCATTTTCTAAATCAAAAATATATTATTTCATAAAGAATTAAAATATTTCAAATTACTATTCTGAAAATTTATTATATTTAATTTACAGCACTTTTGCTTCAACCTTCACATACAAAATTATTCGTTTATATTGAATCACTCATAAATTAAAAGTACGCAGATCAGTGGGGTGCCCAAGAATTTTAAATGGGGAGGGATGTCTTATCTAATAGGTTTTAATACAACTAAATACATTTAATAGGGATGAAAGTATTAGAAAAAGATTAATAAGTAGCCATTAGAGGTCAAGCCTCATTAAAATATTTATTAATATTTTGTGTTTTGTATGATATGATGTAATATTGTTATACAAATATACAATGTAATAATTACAACTTTATTCAATTATTTCTGTTAAGTACTCGATGCTAGAAAAAAAACGCAATGGGGAGGGATATGACCCCTAACCTCCCCCCCTCTAAGGGGACAACGGTGGATAGATGGTTAGGCAATATTTACATTAGGCACCGAGGTTTCCTATTTGATTTATATGTCCTTAGAGAAACTACCAACGGTCGCACTTCAATGATATATAACATTCTTGATTAGACAACTGATCAGGTGTCGCTCTCTATGCGTAGCTACCGGTACCTACGCTGTCGTAGCAGTAATTTTCTTAATTGAATCATTCTCTAACATTAAATCTTTTAATATATGTATGTTACTTAAAAAGAAAAAAATATGTAGACCCCTAATAAATAAATGAACCATAAAAGAAGTTATTAATTAATAATTACTAGCTACATTTAAATTTGATGCTGGTAAAATTGGTCGAGTGCTTTTTTCCTCTTTAATCATTTGTCATTGAAATTCGACTTGGCGACTGTGTAGTTTACTGTTCATAGATTAACCACGCTAATGCATATTATTTCACTTTAATTGATTATAATCTTATTATTATTTTTTTATATTTAGATAATAAGATGAAACCGTCAACCACACCATATTTAGTCGAAATAGGTAATTGTCATATACGAAATATTTATTGTTAGCTCTAATAACATTTTTTAAAATATAATGTTATGTGTTTATAGCATTATTTTTTTAAATTTCTCTTTTCTTGGCTTTATATTAAGGCTAAAAAATGAACATTTTTTACAGAAATACAAAAAAAAATATTGCTAAATTAAAAATTATATTTTAAATTTAAACAATTTTATTTTTATGCCTTTTAGCTTCGATGCGAAGCTGAGAAGGTATTAATTTTACTATGATGTGTTTTTTTTTTTTTTT